CACGCACACGCGCCCGGCGTGAGTTTTAAGCCACCGGGTCTGGGACACGAACCGCGGTCGACTACGTGGGAGTCCAGCGACATAGCCATTACGCTAACTGCTGGTTCCAAATCATGGAATAATTTGACCTGTTTCCAGTGGAGCAATTGTGGTGCTACAGGGCACCCATCTCTAACTTGCCCAAACCTTTATAGAACGGGATCTCTGTGATGGTCAATTTTGTCTTTCAGAAGGCTAATATGATCACTGCAAGCCAACCATTGCCAGTTTACATTGAGACAATGATCTTTCTGGAGACTAGGTGGTAACGGTGTCAATTTTAAGGCATTTCATATAGTTGGAATGGTAAAGCTTGTAGCAACTGCCAGGGTATTGCTCTCAGATTTTGGTCTGTGTATGTATTCGTTTTAATAGCCATGATCCCCTTCTGAGTTTTTACATTTCCACTAAGTCATTGTAATTTTCCAATGATAGTTAACATATATAAAGAGGTCACAAATCCTCAGTTTTCATAACATATTGAAATCATGAGCAATTCTTAAAGAGTATCTACCCTTCATCTTTTATCTTTAGCCACAGACAGGCTTCAGTTAGAGCTATTATTGCTGCTATCTGGGAAGATCAAATACAATGTAACAGAGCTGCTGTAACAGCCCCATTTCAGTGGACACAACAAAGGGGGATACCACTGTCATGTTTAAAAAGAAAATCTATCTATAAACTGTTAATAATAACTAAAAGGGTGTCTGTAAGACGTGGGTATGCTTCACTCTTGAGTTATTGCTATAGACAAGTTTCCTTCACATCTTCAAGAAGACATGAAGTAACATGAGTAAGATTTGAATATTATATAGTAACATATGACATAGATAATAAAAGGATTTCATAGACGGAAAAGTTGCTTACAGAGAAACATTGAATGTTGCCTAGAAGTAACAAGGATTCCACAGTAGGTGGCAAACCACAAAGCTAGTGAAAAGAAAACACCATACTGGCAGAAGCTTCAAGCAATTTGGAAGCAGCTGCCACCTCTCACAAACAAGAAAACAGTGCCTTAGTTATAGAAGCAAGGGATATGCTAAGAGAGTCAATAAATAGGCTTCTAGTGAGTTAATACTCTCAAAGGATAATGTTATTGTTCTTGAACAAGAGAGGTTTAGACATGATTAGGGATAACCAAAGTGGGAAGTGGCTGAAGCGAATTCTGAGAAAGCTTCTTCCACTTTTGCATTCAGTGAGAGACTGAGCAATGTTTTTCTTAGTAAGCTCATGAGATGACTGAACAATTTAAATAAACAAACAGGTATTTATTGCTTGCCAATAACCAGTCAATCTTAAAAATTTTTGGTCTTTTGGTTCAGAGCTTTAGTAAAATGGAACCATCTTTGTTCTGGTGGGAAGCATAAAATATCCATTTACTGTCAAATTGTCACCCAAAGAACTAGTTTCTTGAAAAATAACATGACTTTCTTTACTCTAGATTCCTGATGCCTCCCTTCAGCTCAACCTGAAGAGAAATGCATGGAGTCTTTCTATACACTTCTTAAACTGAGAGGGCACTGCAACCTAATAAACTCCATAATTATGAGGAAAAACCCTTAAAGAAAAATCAAATCTATTTATTGATATGTAATTGTTTAGATTAAAACAAGTATAAGGGGTACAGCATGTGGCGTGGACATTAAGGTGGCTGGATCCCACGTAACCTACTATGCAGTTTGAGTCTCAGACTAGGTAACTTGTAAAGCATGCAGGGCATGTGTGCACGCATGCCCAAAGTTCCTGGGAGGAGAATGGGGAAAGGACTGCAGTGTGGCCATCCCTTCTGGGGGGTGATTTCCCATTCTCCTCTCGCTCTCTCTTTCTGGCAATTGTGCATGCCCTACAGCAAAATCAAAAAAGAAAAAATAAAGATATATGAGATCATAAGTTCTGTATGCAGTATAATCATCAATATATGCTGTTAATTTTCCCATGAAAATAAAAAACAAGTGTCAACTGTCATTCTCTTTTTATTAAAGAAAGCTACATATAACTTGACTACTATGACATATTTACTTCAGCAAACAGGGAGAGATGTATTCATGTTTGCATTATCAAGAATCTAGAGATCATAATTCTCTTGCTTATCCTGAGTTAATTTTGTTTAGCTCTTTTCCTTTTTTAATTTCACCATAAAGAGAGGGAAAGTGAGAAAAAAAATTGCCAGTTCCAGGACTCAAACTGTGGCTGGTCTTACAGGAGACCAGCACCTCAACCACTAAACCACCTGCCAGTCCCTATCCTGCATTTTTAAATAAAAGGGTAGCCATTTCTGAAAGGCTTCTAAATTGGCAGAGTAGCACTACAGATGAAAACATAGCCATTCCTATTCTAATAAAGATTCAATAATGAGTTTCATTCCTGAGATTTCTTCACATTTGAGTGGATACTGGGATTATCTTGGTAGGGACGTATAAGGATTCGTTTGAATTTTACATCAATTTTTAGTATTGTATTCATGTCAGTAGAATCTTCAGGCCGAGAAGTAAACTGATGCAACGGTGCATTGGAGAGAGCAAACATGCAAGGGATGGCTATAATTTGGGTTATTCTAATGTGGTGTCTTAGGGAAACATTTTACTCATAAATGTTGTAATAGAGTCAGTCTCAATAAGTCACTTGGAGCAGAGGCTCACAATTAAAATTGACATGTTTGCAAGGCTGGAAAAATCATAGATTATCAATATTTATTGGAGACATCCTCATTAGTTATCTTATTGGTACTCTGAAAAACACGTAGGGATAAAGAAGCAAGATTTGAGGTAGAATATCCACAAAGCATTGGAAGGCCTGACCTGTAAATGGATATAATAGAGGGGATATTTTGGGGTATAACTGAGATTCTTGGAGGGGTGTCACTATTGGACCTCCAATTTGACTTCATTGGCTCTTCTGTTTTAGGAGGAAGCCACTTTACCAATGTCCAATCCCTTCACAGATGTCCTATTTCCTAAAAAGATGAATACCTTCCTACTGTGTGCCAACCATTCCACTTCTAGGATTTAGCCAAAAAAATGAAAGCATATGCCTATAAGAGACTTATGTGTAAGTGCTCATGGTAGCTTTATTTCTAAAAGTCAAAAACTGTAGACAACCCAAGTGTCAATCAATCAGTGAATGAACAGGGCCAGCCAGGAGTGTGCTGAAGGCAGCTGGATCCCACATGGCCAAACTTGGCAGTTTGAAAAACACACCAGGAGCATGTATGTGCATGCCCCAAATCCCTAGAGATAAACAAGAAGGGATTGAGGTGTGGTCAGTCTTCCTAGGGAATGCTTTTTTACTTTCTCGGACTCTTTTATTTCTTTTTCTCTCTCCATCTTCACCCCCACAAGTGCATGCATTCCACAGCAAAATAAAATAAACTGGTGAATAGGTGAACACATCATGATGTATCTATACAACAGAATACTAAGGAATAAAAAGGAAAACAATAAAAAGATTTTTGGTCTAGCTGGTGCTGTGGTGGGTAAGGCCACTGGATCCCACATGGTTAACTGTGCAATTCAAGTCCTAGTTCAAGGTATTTGGAAAGCACACCAGGCACAAGTGTGCATGCGCCTGTAATTTCAAAACGACAAAAGGAGAAGGGACTGTGACCATTACCCATGTGGGATGCTTTCTAACACACCACCACCGCTGCCCTCCCCGTCTCTCTTGGGTTGGCGCTCGTACCTCCAGTAAACTGAAAAACAAACAAAAACCATTAATAAAAGCAGTAACATAGATGAAAAATGCAGCAACAGAGATGAATCTTTAAATATCTGGGCTGACTAAAAACAGCCAGATAAGAAGTAGTGCTTAATTTATGACTCCAATTAGTTACTTTTTTTTAAAAAAATGTAGACTACATGGTAACAGAAAGCAGATCAGTGGTTGACTGGGATCAGATTGGGGAGCCACTGGGAGTCCTTTTAGTTTATTTTATTCTCTCAGGAGCTCCATTCCCTACTGCACTTTAAAATGCAGAGTCAATCAGTACACTGCTAGGGCTCCCTCAAACCTTAAGGCAATTTCGGACTACATTTCTTACCACTTTCAAAACAAATTATGCGATGTTTTACAAATATTGTACAGTCCTTTTTCTCAGCACTACTATCAAGCTTCTCATTCTGCTACAATTGCAAGGCAGAAGTAGTTATATCAGTAGTTTTTCTCAGTTCACAAGGGTACCAAAAGGGGTAATGACAATGTTCTTAAATTAGAGCGCCATGCTTGCAGATTATGGAAAGTTTAATTCTTGCTGTTACAATAATGAGCTTCCATCATGATTTAAAAGTTATGTATTGAGTTGTAAGAAAAGTCGTCATTCATTTTCGCATAGAAAAACAGAAAAACATATACATCATGACTTTTCTGACAACCTAAAACAAATATATCAGATTCTCAATATATTTTTCTGTTAAAGATGTATTTAACTATATTATTTTTTAATTTGTTGAGAGAAAGAGAAAGGGAAGGAGGAAGGGGGAGAGAGAGAGAGAGAGAAAGGGAAAGTGAGAAAACAACAGCAAAGATCTGTGACTCAAACCATGATCAACCATGTGGAAGTCCAGCACCTTAACCCCTATGCCATCTGCTGGCCTCAGACTCTCAACTCTTAAGCTAAACTGTTTTATGAAGACCACTTTGTTACACAATAGGGTCAGCACCAAGGTATCCAACTCTCAGGTATGTGGAAAATCCATTTTCAGATAACATGTATTTAAAACAAAAAAGTCCAAGGGGAGATTTTCTTTTTTCATCATTAAAATGAATTTTAAAATCAAACAGCTGATAAAATCCTACATTGAAATCTCTGCACTCTTATTTTCAAAACATTTTATTTCACAAAAATTTTATGTGATATAAAAGTACTACATGCCTGAGCCTGTCTCTCAAAACAAAAGAGATTCTTTAAGTTTTTTGGGTCAATCTTTCTTCAGCACCAAATAAATAAGAACCAAGTCATATTATGTAGAGCACATATAGAAAATTTTATTTTATAAAAACAGTATATTGGGGTATTTTATATATAATTTAGCAATCTAGTTAATGTTGACAAGTGTCAGTGTTTTAAGTCACCCATTACATATAAAAAAGAACCCAAAAGACATGAAGCAGATATTTTACCCCTGAAAGACAGATGTCTGATTTATTTTTTTTCTTGTATTTTTTGAAGAAGATATTCCATTTGTAAATTCAAGTTTGGTTGGCCCTTTTTAGTCTTTTTGCTCAATATTTTAAATACTTCCATTTTCTTTTTTTTGTAGAGCTTTTGAGCTTCTTCTCTCTCTTGTTTTCTTCTCTCAAATTCCTGAAATTAATATATATAACTTTCATTAGTAACAAAAGGTATAGTTCACAAATCATTTTGATATAGCTATTATGACACAAATACCCAAAGGTTTTCTCTTACATTTTGAAAAATGTCAGTTGTTTACTATATTTGAAACTGTATCTGCTTTGCTTTTACACTGTTACACATGATGTAAAATAAATTATTAAACACAGAAAAGAGTAGACATATATTTGTTTGGATTTCACTAAATCTACTGAAGAATTAGAAGGAACCTTAGATGTAATCTAATCCAATTTCCACATAAAAAACTTTTATTTACAGAAATCTATATCCAGTATTCTTGTTAATTTGCTATTTGATTAATTTATAAGTTTAATGCAAGAAACATTCATTATATATGTGCAAAGCATTCTGCTAGGCATTATGATTTTGATGATTTAAGAATTATCATAATCATTTGAATTGATAAGATAAAGACTCAAGCTAAAGGAAAAATAAATCAGAATTATATAAATGCTAGACTATGTTCATCCTATAGAGGAGCTGATGTTCAGGAATAAAAATGACTTGCCCAAGATCATAAGTAAATAGGCTTTTTAAAAAAAAAAATTCTAATTCAAAATCTGTGCATGTCTCTATCATGCTATGTCACTTAAAAATATTTTTATAAACTTTTTTTAATTGCCAGACAGCATGTGTTTTCTCCAGAGACGGAGACAGAGAGAGAGATAGTACACCCTCCACTGAAATGTGGTCACATTGCAATTCCTGCTCCTCCATTTCTCCATCTCATCAGGATCTGGGGCATGCACACACACACATCAAGCATGTTTTTCTTCTTGAATTGCAGGGGTTGGGACTTGAACCACAATTGGGCATATGGGATCTGGCTCCATTAGTCACTAGGCTATGGGCTGGCTCTTAAATTTTATTCTTCATATGGTACAGTATTTTATTTATTTTAATAAGCATGTAAAAAGCTGAAACTTTTTTGTGAATGTAGGTATATGGAGCTATACTGAATCCTACAGTTCACCCAAACTAAGGAAGACTTTTTAATATCCTTACCATCAATTTTAAATCCTATTTAATGAATATTCCAAGAACAGTGATTTCTTTAAGGGGAACGGTGTTGGTTTTTATATTAGCATTAGAAATCTCCAAGTTCTAGGAAACTGCTAATGTTCATGATTACATAGCCTGGCTCTATAAACAGAATTTTAAAAGGATACTCAATGTTTTATAGGATAATGGTCCCTACTGCACTTCATCTGTTTACTAATTTCAAAGGTGGCAGGCATCAGATGGTTAGAAAAAAGCATAAAGTAAAACAAAGATGCCATAATTACAGGGAGAAGTGTTTGCATCTTTCATAATCATCATGAGCATTTTAGACAATAAACTCTAAGTTTTGCAATTATACACTTTCTAAAGCACAAATATATAGGAAATTATGTCAGCAACATCTTTCGGGTATTTCTGATCAATGTGCTATATCCTTTTAAAGTTATAAATTCATAAAATTTCTCAGAAATAACTAACACAGTTTCCAAAAAATGGTAATTTTGTTCTACTCCTTTGAAAAAGTCTATTATAATTCTAGTTTCCTGTTAAGTAACTGTTAAGTTACAGTAGTAGGTTTTTCAATAGGCAAGAAGCACTTTGAGGCTAGTACAGTGGTAAAATGTGATGCTTCAGCTGCCCCACATGAGTAGATTGCTGGAAACCTTCCTGAGGATGCTGGGCAGACCTGTGCCCAAGATTCTAGGCTGGCTGAAGATAGAGATGGATTGGGGCATCAAGACTCTTTCAAGGGTGCTTTATCTCTGCCCCTTTCGCTCTCCTGGAATAAATAAACTTTAAAATGTAAAACAAACTATTTTATTCTAACATTTCCCCTCTGTGCTTTTCTTTTTCCTTCTTTCTCTTCAATGTGAGATCATGAAAATTATATATTGGGGTTATATGGTATCAAAGTGGACCCACATGGAAAGGTCCTGGATTTACATTTTGAGATCTTCCGGAGCATGGCAGGCATACAAGTGTATGCCCATTATGACTGAGGCTTAATGAGACTAGGGGTGGATCAGTGTTAGGATACTATTGGAGTATTAGAGGAGGCTGTCTCTCTGTCTCTGACAAAATAAACAAATAAGCTTTACAAATAAAAGGGTTAGCCCACAACCTAGTGGTTAAGGGAGTCAGATCCCACATGGCCGACTATCCCAATAGGCTGGGGAAATGAAGGGACTATAGCAGTCATGCTCCATTAGGGGCATTTTCTCCCTCTGTAGTAAGTACATGTGCTCTCTGGTGAATAAAACATAAACAAATAAAAATAATAATTAAAAAAAATAAAATCACTTTTTAGTGGTTCTCAAATTTTACTATATATAAAAATCACCTGATGCACTTTTTAAAGTGTATGTTCCTGAACCATTACTTTGAGAAATTGTCCCACATGCTTATATAACCTATGAGCAATTTTCTTTAAAATCCTATTCTTAACTTACTAGTATTGCCTGAGATAAGACAAACAATGGAAGAATTAGAATATAATGTAATTCTTCAACTGTTCAGACCATATATGCAACAGTATTTACAGAGAAAATATGAGACATAAGAAGCACAGATTGTATACACATTAAGAATAGATAAGGAGTAATGAACTTAAATATTTTCAAAGCAGAACTTACTTGTTTCTTGGCAGCACGCTTAGCTTGTACCTGTTCATATTCTTCTTGTGCTTTCTGATTTGAAGTTTTCTTTTTATTTTTCTTTGGAATTGTAATGGAACTTTACAAGGTAAATTAACAGAAGTAAGTCACAATAATTAAAAATGATTTAGTCAAATAACGATATCATTGTATATTGAAAGCTCACTAATGTAAATTAATTGCAGTGGAAAGAAGAAACAGGACACCAAAATGATTAGCAAAATGTCCGAATTAAGATATTAAAAACATAGTAGCAGCTTTTAACATTATAAATTAAAAGGTGGCAAACAGAGATTCTTGGAGAAGTGATTCAACCAATGAAAAGACAGAAAGCCTTAAAAAAATAAAAAACAAAAACAAAAACAAGATTTCAGTATAGGAACAACAGACTGAAAACACATTAAACTGAATGATATTATGGAAGTTGTGAGTATGCATAAACTTCAATCTCAAAGTTCTTTTTTACTGTGTCTCTTTTCCACTTCACCTATTTAGTTATGAATCATCACATCTGGGACCTAGTCCCATGTAGAACTATGCAGTCTTGAAGTACCTCTTACCTCTTTGAAGATTTCCCTTCTGCCAAGGCTAATTCAACAATTTGGGATTCCACTATGCCCTCTGAACATTTCATTCAGTAATAATCTCTCTTTCTCCTGTCAACTTTTCATTACATTCACTCCATAACCGTAACGACATATTTTAGTAGCTGCCTTCTTAAAGTAAACAAGTACATGCCATATCCTGCGTCCCCTTCTATTGGACTTGTTCCCTGACCTTTCAGTCATGTTTCTAGAAAGAACAGCAAATTGAAAATGACTGTCACTTTCTACGTATTCAACTCTCCAATACCCAATTTCTGTTCTCATTAATCAAACTGCCCATGTCAAGACAGTGATGACCTTCTAGATATATGATATTCCAATGGGCACTCTGTCTCTTTTAACAGATCATTCACTACTTTTGAAAATCCTACTCCCTTAATTTGGTGACATTCCTCTCTCTTGATCCCAACTGTTCCTTCTTACTCTGCCATGCTAGTGCCTCTTTCTCTTCCTCACTCCAGACTTGTCCCCAAGGTGTTTCTCTTTTTAGTTTCCATACTAAAAATACGGACAGTCAGATCCATAATCATGGCTTCAGATACTACATGAACTTTTACTTTGCTAGCGTGGCTGACACTTCATTCCCCTTTTGATAAGTTTTTTTTTTTTAACTTCTTAGTGACTTTTTCCTGTTTTTACCTTAAACTAAAAAGAGTCTTTAATTCTTATCTTGTGTCATAATTCGCTTTAATGGACAAGACTTTAGTGAAATGAAAAATTATGGTCCAAACTGAATAGTTTTTTGTTTTATTTTTGCAGGTTTTGATTTTAGCATGTTTTTACTTCAAGTATGTGCAGAGACATAAGTTAGCTCTTATGAAAAGAAAACTGTTACACAGCTGTGCCTTTTGTTTTTTAATTGTAACCCATTCCTCATCCTTTGTAAATGAGTGGCAGCTTTCATATACCCTTACCATAGATCATATACCTTTTTAAATGCTCATATTAATGAATTCGGTTTCACAGCAATGTCATGAAACGCTTCAGGAACACCATCCAGTTTGTGTGAATAATCTATTCTGGAGTAGTGCAACCTGGCAGTTCTCGAATGAATACTCATCACCATTCCCATTTTAGAGAAGACACTATGGCTCCAACACGTTAAGTTTGGCTCTAGACACCATACTGTTAATGACTACACTTAAAATTCTGCTAAAAAAAAAAAAAAAGTATGTTTTAAAAATAATAACAGAAGTTAATATGTATTTGAGGAAGCAGAAATCCAAAACTCAGATCTCTTCACTCATATTCTATTACTTCTTCAATTATGCTAAAATAGTCTAATTTAGTAATTTAAGCTAAGAGACTCTATGAAAATTTCTGCCTATTTACACTGTCTTCTAAAACATGTTAAATAAGAAAAATTCTAATTCCTATATAAATTGCCCCAAAATACTTTTCATATTAACACTATTTACATTTAGAATGAAGGATTTAAAAATAAAAAAAAACACACATACTTTACTGGTTGGCTACACTGTTCTTCTGGCTGAGGCTGGTGAGTACTACACTGATCTTTAGACCAAGCCTGGTCAGTGCTACACTGTTCTTCAGGAAGAAGTCGATCAACTTCTTCTAACAAAGGCTTGTCAATTTTTCTTAGTTGCTTCTTGAGTCTTTCCTCTTCAGCTAAATAGAGATGTTTCAGATGATCTGGGTATTGATCTGTGAATTGGGAGTCCTGTGATGTTTGAGCCTTCTTTTCCTTCCGTAATAATTTCCTGTAACTTTGCTGAATCTTAAGTTTTCTTCGAAATGCAAAGCCTTGTCCTACATTGAGGAATATAAATCAAAATTACTTCACAGAAAGTAAGTTGAAAGATGAAGCTGTTAATTTATAATGAAAATCTTTGTACGTCATTACATTCAGATGTTACTTTATGTTTTAACAGATTATTTCAGGCAACATATTTAGGCTAACAGACTGAACATCAAATTGGCTTTTTGCAAAAAAGACAAAACTAACATCAGTGGTGAGACACCATGTAAGAATCTGAAATAAAAAAACTGACTAGTTCAGACTGTTGTGTAACTTGGGTTTATAAATGTTCTCACAAATCAAAACAAATTTCTTAATACATGGAAAATACTTAATGTAGGCCTTCAATAAACATTTGAAAACAGGGAAAAAAATCCTATATTTTATTACACTTTGGGGACACTACTTTACAAACTGATTTGCAAAAAGACTTAAACACAAAAGTGAAATGATGGTGTATAACTTTTTGAATAGCAAGCAATGATCAGAAAACTTACTACACACCAAGTGAGATTTGAGTGACTTTATAAAAGGATAGGAAGCAAAAGGACAAACACAGACTAAAACGAAGAAAAGAATGGCAGGAGAAGTAATGAAGGGTACTGGGGTATTTGTAACCAGCGACACTTAGGGGCAGAGTATTTTGAAACCTGTCCTTTCTCCATTTCTTTTTTTTAAAGAATTATTTATTTAATTTTATTTACTCATTCGTTTTATTTTCACTTTCATTTGACCAGACACACACACACACACACACACACACACACACACACACAGATAGAGAGAGAGAGAGAAAGAGAGAGAGCACGCGCACGCAAGCAAGCCACCAGGTCCAGGACTTGAACTGCGGTCACCCACGTGGGAGTGTCCAGCGCCTTAACCACAACACCACATGCTGGTCCCCCCCCTTTCTCCATTTCTTACTGCAACGTCGACAAGCAAAAACGCATATGTGCAGTACATACAGAAGTGGACGCTCTCTGTCTATGGTTTCACAGTTAACAAAACAAAGGGAAAATGTTAGGTCGCAGCGATGGTTAAACTATTTAAAGTTATCAACACTGTCCGGTCTTTCCAGTCAGAGCTCTGCGACAGAGAGCTTAGCTCCTCTGTCCAAGGCGGTCCGCTGGTTCCTCAAACCTTTCGAGTTTTTCGGGCAGCGTACCGTAGGACTTCACAGGGCGAAGGACTAGAAAACGGCTGCCTTCTCACTTACCCTCGCGAATGCTACCCACGCGGGCTTGCAGCCCGTTAGGCCGCCACGTCCTCTGTTTCACCTTCTTACTTTTGAATCCTACCAGAGAAGCCCCTTCGCCACCGGTCCCCAAACTCCCAGTCCGCCACCTCGCCACTGGCCTAGCTGGCGCCATCACAGACAATTTCGTCCTCTCCTAGTGTTCTTTATGCCCCGCTGACTATTTCTTTTCATGAGATCCGCTTCCTTTTGTTCTTCCTTTTAAAAATTGATACTTGCCTCTTTTTTTTTTTTG